GGTGGAAATAACAATTCATTAACACAGTTATTAGATTCTGGGTAAAATACACCATACGGCCGGCCGTACGGTGCTCATCGTACGGCCGGCTGTACGGTGCTCACCGTACAGCTGGGTTTTTTTGTAATTAAACCTCCGCGATTCAGTCATGCAACTCGCGATTTAGCCCTGCAACTCACCAACGAAGACAACGAAGGACGGCAGATCGAAAGTCTGGTGCAACTCACGAACGCAGATCGCCGATAGCCAAGCTTTCAAGTGCAACTCACGAGTCACGACTGAGATTCTTAGCCGACGCAGAGACGGCTCTACCCCTGCGAGCGATTCCTATTCTTCACACTCTATTTTTCCGTCTCTGCTAATTACTGGTCTGCTACATGGGCTGCCACAGTTTTTTATACAAAATGAAATTATGAGCATAGTAGACATTTCGAATGAGTTTTATGATTGCTCATTTTGTAATTTATGTATACTCATTTGATATTTGCTTAATACTCATTTTAAATGAAATGAGTTTTATGTTAAACTCAAATGAGTATAACGCCCAAAAAGAATGAACACACACAAATGAACCTTTTAGTTATTTGATAGTAACTTGTAAGTTATGTATGCTCATTTTAAAATGTTGAACATTTCAAATGTATCGTATTAAACGAAAAAATAATAAACCAAAAGTGATATATAAGATTTGAAGCAGAGATCACTGATTCTCACTGTTAGGCTCCTAATACTCAAAAGAACAGGATTGATGCTCATCAAAGTTGCATAAATGCTCATTTAGGAGTATCCGCGATTTTCACAAAAATTACAATTTTACCACTGACTATACAGTGATCACTTTACGGCCGGTTGTACAGTATATGCGTCCTTAGATTCTGTTGATATTAAACATTTCATATAATCACCCAACAGTAAAAACTGATTGCCGACCCCCCGACCCCTAGGTGACTTGCAATAAAGGACAATGCTCTCGTACTCCCTAGTCAAGGCCAAATCCAAGTTCTAAACCCGTGATAGGGGCTCTTATTCACATTTTCATGAAGACCTTCATCAAAATAAGAGAATTAGGGGATTCGAAATCCCATATGACTAGTTTATTAAGTCATACGAGGACCTTAGCTCTACAATCATTCTATTTTAATCGGGGCCAACTATGAAATTTGTTACGGAGTATTTATCATAGTGCATTTTGTGTTTGAGTAATATATAAAATAACTATTGCGTGTTTGAGTAATACAACATCTAATGCGTTTGAGTAATACATCATAATTAATTGTTACTCATTTCCATGTTTGATGTACACATCTCATACACACCATATTTGTGAAGTGTTTTTTGTCTGTGAATCCGGTTCACAGATAATATTTTGTTTGTGCAAAACATTATCTGTGAATCGATGTTCACAGACAAAAAAAAGTTTTCATAATCATAGATGTGTACAAAAGTGTGTATAAAAGTGTGTACACACATCATTTTTGATTGATTAATTCTTTGGTCTCGAATCCAATTTGACCATAGCGAGGGGAAACCGCATTGACAAAGAAATAATGATGGGGCAGAGAATAATTGTACCACATCTAACAATAATGAGTTCTTCCTCCTTTCCATCTTGTGTACATTGATGTTATAATCAATATTTATCATTTTTCTTTGTTTGATAATCCAGGTGTCAGGGCTTACGCTCCCATAATCATGGAGTTTATGAACTACCCTCCAAAGTCCCTAGACAGTTAAATCTGGATCTGATCAGAGTCAGCCTCGTCAGTACTGACTCCAAAGGACGAATCCAGCAGGATTTACATCACCTTTCAGGCTGCTCCTCCCACCACACGAACCTGTTACCTTCATTACCATCCTCTCCCTTCTCAGCCGTTGAGCAACTCCGTGAAGGTAGGAAGAATCATTGGAAGCAAAACCTCCCTCATCTCCCTTGATGGGAATTGAACCCAAGACCTCCCACAAAGGAGAGACTTGGGGGTGGATGGTCATCCATTGGACTACACCCACCTTCCCAAATCAATATTTATCATTACAATAAATGAAAGCAATGGTTACATACTCACATTTAAGAATCCAGCTCTTTGGATTTGAAAATCACTTAGGACATGTTTACTTGGTTGTTTATTATACGGTTAGCTTACTAAGGCAGACGAAGTAAACGAGTTGGACGCTTAAAAACGTGCTCAGTAAGTCGACTACCCTCTTAAAACGCCGCTTACTAAACTCACCCTCCCCCCATGTTTTATTAAGCGGCAACTTAAACTATTTTTTATTGACCGGCGTGCGCCTTGTTTCTCTCATGTCAAAAATTTATTGACATCGTTATCCCATCTCTCACAAGCACAGAATCATCTCCCGCAAATACGTTTATGAGAAAGCCGATCTTCCTCCCATATGTTCTACACTTCTTTTTCTCAAGGTTTATTTAGGTTGTGATTTGTCCTTATTTCGATTTCTTGGATTAGGTTGGGTTTGACAGAGTTGCCTGAGAAAAATGGGTTCACATTCTAACGCACTAGTTCTCCGGTGGCTGATTAATAATGCTGTTGTAAAACTGTTCTATTATTAGCTTCCACCCCTTCGCTATTTGCTTTATATGTGCTACTCGGTACTTTCTGATCAATTTATAGGTCTGTCTCTCATTGATAAAGCTGGACCGATGAAATATAATGAAATACTCGGTCTGTTTAAAGGTTATTTTTGACATTTTAAATATAAGATCTCTTTTAATCCTGATGAAGTAAACGCAAATTTAATAAACACTTCTTAGTAAGCAGTGCCTTAGTAAGACATGGTTTAATAAGGACCGTTTATTAAACAACCAAGTAAACATGTCCTTATTCTATCTGTACACGTTATTATACACGTTTTTATACATTTGTTTGTGGCAGGCCATATTTTTGTCTGTGAACGTCTGTGACAGACAAAACTTGCGTGTTTTGTCTGTGACAAACAAAACAAGCCCATTCACAGACAAAAAATGGATAGAACGTGTATAAAAACGTGCATAAGAACATGTACAAATAGATTTTTTGTTTGAAAATAGCCATTTTTAGTCGTTTGGCGGCTCTTTTTTTCAACTTGGTTTATCAACTAATTTTTTTCATCAAATATGCAACTTTGATTATGCGCGCTGAATTGTGTAATAATAAAAAAAGATTCAAGTTAGTTTTTGCTGAAGTTAATGTAGATGATCATTTAAGATATTTTTTCATATAACAGTTTCTTTATTTAATTAATAAAATATATCTCAAATATAATTTTTTCCATAGATCAATAGAATCAACAATTCCAACCACTTCAATAAGAAGTTCATAAATGTCCACATAATCGGTCAATGCAACCGATTTTGGTATTACCAAACGGGCTTTAAAATTCTTGTTCGGTTGTTATAACCGTTTTTTTCGGTATTAATAAAAAATTGATTTAATTTAGTATTTCTTAGGGTTGATTCAATTGGTATGGCCTTTCTGTTCGCCTTGGCCCTTCACCGGAGCAGTTGTAAATTGGACAAAAATTGCTTGTTGAGTAATGAGTAATGGTCATCCACTCATCCTCATCCCAAATTGGCCCGTTATCATATTTTCATTAATTTCATATATGACCTTATAACGGGTCATATACTATACGACTAGAACGGGACGGAGAGAGAGCGAACTAATGAACTATGCTAGCGCTCTCGTTGGACATTGAAAAGTTTGTGTTATGTATCAAACTACCTCCATCCTAATTTGATTTGCAAAATTTCCTTTTTTGGTTGTTCCAAAATGATTTTTTACTTTCTATTATAGATATGTGAATAAGAATAAATTGACAAATTTACTCTTACTTTTACTTTTTCTTCATTAACTTAAAGGCATCTAATTTTAGAAAGATGGACAAAACTGTAAAAAGCAAGCATCATTTATTATCATTTCTTAATCCTTGTGCCGGTCAAAGTTTGCAATTCAATTCGGGACGGAGGGAGTATAAGAACTCTGTGATTGAAAGTTATGTATGTAAATGGTAAAAATAAATAGAGCACTAATTATTATTTTAATATTAAATTCCAAAGGTTCTCAAGAATAATTTATATTTTTAGAGATTTTACAATAATAATTTCTACGGAGAGTGCTTATAAAAATAATCTAAATTATCAATGGTGTCACGAGAATAAATTGAATCGAATTCAAACTAATACCCATTTAATACTTTCAATCCTCACTCTCGTTTTTCTCTTCTCCGCTCTTCTCGAGATGAATTCAAGCTAAAACTTGTTTAATCGTAACATCATTTCTGCAATATGTGGTTGAACGATAGAAGTTTTATCCGAGACAAAGAGGGCTGATGGGTAACATGGGGTAGGGATTGAGTATTAAACGGACATTAATTTGAATTCATCCTAATTTATTCTTGTGGACGCTATTGTTAGTTCGAATTATATTTTAAAACAATTCATGGATATCATTATTGTAAAATTTATAAAAATAAGAATTATTCTTGTGAATTTCGTCATTTTTAGATAAACATAAAATAAAGTTACTACTCCCTCCGACCCTTAAAACTTTGCCAAGTTTGACCGGCACGGGGATTAATAAAGTAAAAATTGTGTGATTGAGGTTTGTGCAGAAGAGAGAGAATTAACTGGAACCAGAAATTTTTTACTTAAAAGGGAAAGTGGCAAAGTTAGTGGGACATCCAAAAAAGGGAAGTTGACAAAGTTTTAAGGGCCGGAGGTAGTAAAATCCAACTATGCAAAATGGGGGGAGTACTTGGCATGTGTCTCGGTGTTCCAATTTGAATCCCAACTACAAGGGCCCCACACTCCGATCCGATAGAATTTTTGGGAGTATGTAATTCACGGTGAGTCAGTCGATTTAATGTCGGTAGACCTTAAAACCCGTAGGCATCAGAGGTCCGATCCAGCACGCATAAGCTTCAACTTTCACACAGACGCTACAAGTTATAAACCTTGATCAGTGTTCCAATTTTGAGAGTGAGGATATGGGTCATTAAAATTCCCCGCGTGTTAGGTATGGCGTGTAGTCGTGATGTGTCGCACATAGCTATAAATATGGATTGAGTTTAGAAAATACTTCCTAAACATTAGAGAGAGTGCGGGTAGCTACCAGATAGATAGAACAATACAGGTGGGGGGAGGCGAGGCCTAAATATAGTAAGGATGCTTGGTTCGAGGGCGTCGCGGCCGCCGTCTGTAGGGGTAGTGATTGCCGCCGCAATACTATCATGGAGCTGCGTCCTCCAGATATGTGGCGGTAGTCGGATTACGAGGACCGACGATTATATTAATGATAATAATAATAAACATCATTATTATAAGCATACAACTGGCAGCAGCAGTGATGAGGGGCTTCTCATCCGCAGGAGTCTTATCTCAAATGGACTTGGAGCAACTCCTCAAATGGGGTGGGTACAGTTTTTGTTTTGGTTTTAATATATAAATAGTTTATTCTATTATTATCAATTCATTACTTAAATCTATATTTTAAATCGATCAATCCCGTCATTTAACCTGGTTTTGACATGTTATGTTAAGAAAATTGCTTAAAATTTAGAAAAAATTGAAAACTATAAGAATTTTAGAACGTCAATTTTTTTATATTTTTGGAACTATGCATATTCTACAACAAGGGGAGGCACTAGGCCGGCCGGTACAAAGAATATTATTGAAATAAAAATTACACAAAATTTTTTACACTAAAAATATTGGCATTTTTTAAATTTGGGGTGGACCAGGGCTTAGCCTGGACATCCCCTAGCTCCGCCCCTGTCTACAACGTACATCTTTTTAGAAGTTTTTTGGGATTAATATACAAAACCCCTTCGTGCAATAAAATTTGACGCATTAGCCCATTGTGATTTAAAAAATGCGTCAAACCCCCCTGTGTTATAATTAATCATGCGTCAAATCCCCTTCAAAAACAAATTTAATTTCCAAAATAATTAAAAATGATTAGTTTTTTTCTGTAATTTAGAAATTTTGACAAAGTTACTTATATATTCAATCATATTATTAAAAAAAGTGATTTCAAAATTGTAAAATTTATTCCTGAAAGGGATTTTGTGCATGATTAAATAAAACAAATGGGGGTTTGACGCATTTTTTAAATCACAGGTGGCTAATGCACCGAATTTTTATTTCACGAGGGTGTTGTGCATTTAACCTGAAGTTTTTTACGAGTATATTATAATTTTATACTAACTCCTCGTTGAAATAACTTTCGATTTCCGATTACGATGATTGACTTACGATAAAGCAATTTGATCCTTATTTACATTTAGAAATTAATTTTGGAAGGATGGGAGTATAATTTTTTTTACAATAAGTATTATATGGTGCGTACGTGCAGATGGAGTAGCTGGAATCATTTCGCTTGCGCCATCGATGAGCAATTAATCCGAGAAACTGGTCCGTACTTCGAACCGTCTTCTAATTACTTTAAAACATAGTCATCTTAATTACGTAGTATTTATTAGCTTCCGTTAATATACATTAATATACTCCATAAATTATACTCCCTTCTTCATAAATTACAGTACAAAATAGTAGTAACAAAAAATAATTGTGATATACTCCGTATCATTTGCATCGGTTTTGAAATGGTTAGGTTTAGGATTATTTTGCATTAGTTCATATTTGAGTGTGTTTAGAATGAACCGAGTATATCCTTACGTTATAAGGAGTACGTATACGTTACACAAAACACAACTGCACAATATACTCCCTCCGTCCTTAAATGTTTGTCACACTTTGACTTCATAAATTTAAGGAGATGGATTTGACTTTATACTGTAGCGACACTGTTTCACACTGTAACGACACTGTTTGGCACTGTTTTGCACTTTTTGACACTGTTTGGTATAGATTTGTTTACCAAATAAGAAAGTTTAAAAAGTATGACAAACATTTTGGGACATCAGTTTCGGGAAAGTGTGACAAACATTTAGGGACAGAGGGAATATCTCAACTTTCTTTTGTATAGTTAGACGATAAAATTATACTCCGTGTTACTCGGTCGTCTATAGCAATTTTGAGACCCTAGAAGTTCAAACTATAATAGTACGCATGAAATGAATAGCAATAAAATGCATACAAAATACATTATGTAGTACGATAGTATATATTATGAATGCTAAGAAAATAACTCTTGAATGTAAATCATTCCAAATTGACAAAGTAATACCAGTAGCTTGTTTTTCTTGATTTTTGAAAAATTAAATTAGTAAAGACATCACTACAATTGGCTAACATTCTTTTCAATCAAAAGCATAACTAAACCACCTAATCTATCTTCAGACATGATCGAAAGCATAACTAAACCACCTAATCTATCTTCAGAGATGATCGATAGGAAATAACTTTTTTTTCAGCAACTAGAAAAAATTCTCTCTTCAAAAGCAACAACAACCGGTATAATTCAATAAAATTGTATAAGCAACCCAAGCATTTGAAAAAAAAATTAATGTAATCAATCTATTTTTTGTACACACATAAATCAATACGGATATTGAATAAACCCATACACTTATGCATCACTACCAATTGTCAATTGACAAAAAGTATTAAAAGTTAAAACTGTTAGAAAATGTGTTAAAAATTGCATTAAATGGTGATTTTGGGGCAATTATTTGAGTGGGGTCCACTTCCGATTTGGGTCGGGTTAAAGTGGTTTCGGATTGCCCTTGTTAAGGGCTACAATTCGATATATGGTACACTCAAAACGGATAACGGGTGAATGAGAAATTGATTCTCGAAATTCACTCGTTGAATTGGAAAAACTGGGAAAATGATGGGTTTGTAGTGTATTTTATCCCACACCGAAAAACTCAAGGGATTTTCACCCCCTTATAAAGAGAAGCCTCTTTTAAGAAGTTAAGATTCCTAAGGGTAAAGGCTCTTTCTTACGCGCAGGGGGGTGCCGATCAAATCCCGAAACGGAGAAGAAAGACCGCGGCTCGTGTGCGCGGGCGACCTGCGGACACGAATGTCGTCCGGAAACCTATCATTCAAAGATACGTTACAGCCATTAAATGTTCAACGTTCTTGTCTTTTAATGCAGCGTTAAATGGACAGTTTATGGATGATTCAATGCCCAACGAAATTGATGGGGTTATGGGACTAGGCCCAGAGCCTAATCGGCCCAGGCCCCGAACTTGGACCAGCGGGCCCAAGCCCAGCAACCCAGAGCTCGAGTCAGCCCAACCAACCAGGGCAATCAAGGAGCGGAAGCCCAACTGGGAGCCTGCGGTCCGGCCTACCCGGGAGCATTCCTTCCAGCCTACCCGGGAGCCTGCGGTCCAGCCCAACTGGGAGCCTGCGGTCCAGCCTACCCGGGAGCCTGCCTTCCAGCCCAGTGGGGAGCCTGCCTTCCAGCCTAGCCAGGAGCCTGCCGACCACCAGCCCAGCTGGGAGCCTGCGGTCCGGCCCAGGTGGGAGCCTGCCTCCAGCCCAACGGGGAGCCTGCCTTCTAGCATACTCGGGAGCCGGCCTTCCAGCCTAGCCAGGAGCCTGCCGACCACCAGCCCAGCTGGGAGCCTGCGGTCCAGCCCAGCTGGGAGCCTGCGGTCCAGCCCAGGTGGGAGCCTGCCTCCAGCCCAACGGGGAGCCTGCCTTCCAGCATACTCGGGAGCCTGCCTTCCAGCCTAGCCAGGAGCCTGCCGACCACCAGCCCCGCGGGGAGCCTGCGATCCAGCCCAACTGGGAGCCTGCGGTCCAGCCCAGGTGGGAGCCTGCCTCCAGCCCAACGGAGAGCCTGCCTTCCAGCATACTCGGGAGCCGGCCTTCCAGCCTAGCCAGGAGCCTGCCGACCACCAGCCCAGCTGGGAGCCTACGGTCCAGCCCAGGTGGGAGCCTGCCTCCAGCCCAACGGGGAGCCTGCCTTCCAGCATACTCAGGAGCCTGCCTTCCAGATTAGCCAGGAGCCTGCCGACCACCAGCCCCGCGGGGAGCCTGCGATCCAGCCCAACTGGGAGCCTGCGGTCCAGCCCAGGTGGGAGCCTGCCTCCAGCCCAACGGGGAGCCTGCCTTCCAGCCTACCCGGGAGTCTGCCTTCCAGCCTACCCGGGAGCCTGCCTCCAGCCCGGTCAGAAGCCTTCCTCCAGCCTAGCGGGAAGCCCACCGTCCAGTCCAGCAGGGGGGAGCTCAAGCGTCCAGCCTGCCAGCCAGGCTGACCTGCCAGCCAGGAAGAGTAACGGCCAACAATCAATGCGCGACTTAATTATGTGTTTAATTCCGTATTAATGTTGTAATTAATTTAGTCATTATTATGTTCGGCAGTTACCATTTGTAATCGCCTATAAAAGGCAATTCGAATTTCAAATACAGATATGCTTTTTCTGGCTAACTTTCCATATTCGTACTTTCCTAATTCCTGCTTGAGTGTCGTACGTAGCTTTCCTAAAAGCCTACGAGCGTCCTATTTTGGACCAACATTGGTGCTTTCATTGAGAGCCTCTATTGTCTCTCACATAACTTGAGTAGGAATCACACAGGAAGATGGCTAGAATCTCGTCTCGACGTGACCATGTCTCAGTCCACACCGAGGAGTCCGCCCGGTCTGGCCGCCAGCGTTCCCTCGACAACCATGCACAGGGCAGGAGGGCGGCGCGCCAAGGCGACCTTCGGAACCAATTATCAGGCCACGGCGACCTAAGGGCGATGCTCAACCACACTCAAGGTGAGCGCTCGGTCCGCAGCCGGCGGGGGGGAGGCCGACGTCATGCTCCGTGCATGGACCCGACTCGACTCAATGCCGGGGTGGAAGCCCTGCAGGAGGCAACTCGGGTTCTGGGGACCTTGGCTCAAAATTTCCAACAGATGGTGTCTAGCGGAAATGTGGATGAGCCTGCCCGTCAACAGACGCCAGCGGATGTGGAGATGTCCTCCAGGCGGCGCGATGAGCGACGCTCTGGATCCAACCAAAACAGGGGGGAAGAAGTCTCCCATCGGCGGGGGGAAGAAGTCTCTCAGCAGCCTAGCCGACCCCATCGGCAGACGGGGAGGGGCGCCCAGCAGGGGCGCCCAACGCAGATGGAAGGAGGCGAGCCCTCTCGCCACTCTCACCGGGCGAGCAGTCGGACTGGCTCCACGGAGAGGCAAAACGTGGGGCCCCGACCTCACGTGCACGGACGACTTGGAGGTGCCGCCGGACATGCCCAGCCCCGCGCTGGAGCTGTCCGGGGGAACCCACCGCCGACCGAGGTGGAAGATCTACGACAACGCCTTGACGAGTTGAGAAGGAGGGTTGTCGGGGGGAGCCTTACACGGCCGACCTCCGGATACCCGAACCCTTCACCCGGGCGGTCATGGATGCGCCGTTGCCGAGGGGCTACAAGCCTTGCGCCATTGAAGCATACAAGGGCGCTTCGGATCCCTAGCATCATGTATCTCGGTACCTTTCCTACATGGTCATGATGGGGTACGAGGACGCAATCCGATGCCGCGGTTTCTCCGCCACTTTGGATGGCCCGGCTCGTGAATGGTATGACTCTCTACCCGACGGGAGTATCACGAATTTCCGTGAGTTGGCTCAGCGCTTTCTCTTGAGGTTCGCGAGCTCCCGAGACGTCAAGAAAAACTTCAGCCACCTGTTCGGCCTAAAACAGGGGAAGAAGGAATCATTGTCGACCTTCCTAGCGAGGTGGAGGGCCGAGTCAGTCAAGGTTCAGGGCCTTGATGACAGGACCGGGGTGGCCATGCTCACAAACTCTATCCGATCGGGCGAGCTTTACAAAGATTTCGTCATAAGTTCCCCTACCTCGTACGAGGAGGCGCTCGGCCGTGCCGACCGGCAAGCCGAGGCGGAGGACGCCTTGCAGAGGAAAAGAGATGAGGAAGAAGGTGCAAAAGAAGAAAAGAAGAAGGAAGCCGGTTCGGGTGCTGAGAAAGCTGACGGCAAAGCTAGCAACAAAAACAACAAATACAAAGGTAACAAAAGTAGAGGCAAGGGCAAGGCGGACGTCCCGAGCGGACCGCTACAGCCCGTCAAGCAATTGACTCCACTTGCTCAGCCGGTCGGGGCCATCCTCGACTACGCGGAGGAGCAAGTTTTAGTCGACTTTCCTGAGGAGTGTGATGTGGTGACTGCCAAGCGCAACCACGACCAATATTGTCGATTCCATCGGAGAGCAGGGCATGATACAGATGATTGCGTCATTCTCCGGCGGCAAATTGAAGAACTCATCCAGAAAGGGTACCTGGGCCAATTCGTTGGCAAACAAGGAGGCATCCCGCAGAAGAGGAGCATGACGTGGCAGCGGTCCGACCAAGCTACCACGTCAAAGGAGACACCCCCTGCCAAGAAGCGGGAGCTCGGCGCCTTCTCCGAGGAAGACGATGCCGACCTAGGGAACGGCCCCCAGAAGTACCATCGATGTTCATTCATATTCGGGGGACCCCAGGGAGGCGAC